TGTAGGCCTCTTGGCAGCCTCCCAAACCAGTTTTGTTCTCATCTTTTCAACAATCTTGGAGGGACGTTCAGTTCTTGGTAATGTCACTGTTGCGCCATATTTTCTCCACTTGATGATGACTGTCTTCACTGTGTTCCATGGTATATCTAATGCCTTGGAAATTCTTTTGTACCCTTCTCCTGACTGATACTTTTTAACAATGAGATGCTTTGTAAGCTCTCTGAGGACCATGGCTTTTACTGTAGGATGCGACTAAGAAAATGTCAGGAAAGACCTACTAGAACAGCTAAACTTCATTTGGGGTTAATCAGAGGCACTTTAAATGATGGCAGGTGTGTACTAACTCCTGTTTAACATGATTTTGCATGTGATTGCTTAATACTGCTACATCCCCAGTTATAAGAGGGTGTGCACACTTATGCAACCACATTATTTTAGTTTTTTATATTTACTCAAGCCCCCCAAAAAAAAAGATTTTGTTTTTCAATTGAGTTGTACAGTTTATAGGTCACATTGAAGGTGGAAAAAGTTCTGAAATTATTTATCTTTGTTTCTTTTTTTTTACATCACAGAAACCTGACATGTTAACAGGGGTGTGTAGATTTTTTATATCCACTGTAAGCTAGGTTTGGCAACCTTGGCGAGGTGGAGATCTTCCTAAACAAAACCGAAGTAATCAAAGATCACCTGGACGCAGAACACTCTTTTTAGGGAGATAGCCTGGAAAAGCCATTAAAAAGTAGATTCGGAAACTTATCCTCACTGTAACTTCAGTAAGAAACTTGGCATTCAATGATTTTTTTTCTTTTTTTTTTTCTTTGAGTTTATAGGTGAGGAGGAAGTCAGATCAGTGAGCTGAAGGAAAAAACAAACTGACTGACACATAGAGGATGTGTGAATGTAAGGATTTTCCCTGCTGTGCTGGTTGCAAGCACTGATCAAATGCTGATTTTTCAGCATTACCATTACACCAGCTTCTGTTGAACAGACGGCAGCATACATGGACTGAAATCGGATGGTTCTTGCTGAACTCTGCCTAGCTTGTGCAGAGTTCACAAGCCAGGAGTAAGTCAAACAGAGTTGACAGGCTAGGAATAAGTTGTGCAGAGTTCACAGTTCAGGAGTAAGTTCCGCAGTTTCAGACAGTGGCAAGAAATGAATGACAGTGTAATCTTTCAATATTATACACTGCTCAAAAAATTGAAAGGAACACTTTTTAGAGTATAGCATCAAGTCAATTAAACTCCTGGGATATTTATCTGGTTAGTTAAGTAGCAGAGGGGGTTGTTAATCAGTTTTAGCTGCTTTGGTGTTAATGAAATTAACAGGTGCACTAGATGGGCAACAATGAGATGACCCCCAAAAGAGGAATGGTTTTACAGGTGGGGGCCACTGACATTTGTTTGCCTACTCATCTTTTCTGACTGATTTTTACTAGTTTTGCATTTGGCTAGGGTCAGTGCCACTACTGGTAGCATGAGGTGATACCTGGACCCTACAGAGGTTGCACAAGCAGTCCAGCTCCTCCTGGATGGCACATCAATACATGCCATTGCCAGAAGGTTAGCCATGTCCATGGAGGGACGCAAAGACCTCTACAGGCTAGAAAATGGCACCCTGACTGCCATCAGTTAGCGGGATGAAATCCGTGGACCTATTGTCAGACCCTTCGCTGGTGCAGTGGGTCCTGGGTTCCTCCTGGTGCACGGCAATGCTCAGCCTCATGTGACAAGAGTATGCAGGCAGTTCCTGGAGGACGAAGGAATTGATACAATTGAATGGCCCCCACACTCACCTGATCTAAAAATCCAATAGAACCTCTGGGATATCATGTTTCAGTCCATCCGATGCCACCAGGTTGCACCTCAGACTGTCCAGGAGCTCAGTGATACCCTGGTCCAGATCTGGAAGGAAATACCCCCAGGATACCATCCGTCATCTCATTAAGAGCATGTCTGACATTTTCAGACATGCATACAAGCACGTGGGGGACATATAAACTAATGAGTACCATTCTGAGCTGCTGCAATGAAATTTCAGCAAAATGGACTAGCCTGCTGCATCATTTTTTCACTTTGATTCTCGGGGTGTCTTTGAATTCAGTCCTCTGCAGGTTGATAATTTTCATCAAACGATGGGGCATCCTTACGTTCCTAACATTACCCAGTCCATATCAGTGTAGCTATCCAGCATGATATTTTTCCCCATTGAGATCTCATGTGTTTTCAAAGTGTTCCTTTCATTTTTTTAGCAGTGTAGTTAGAGCTCAGATGTCCAAAAAGTCAACTGAATTGAAAAAAGTCATCCAACTGCTCAACAAAATATGGCCCCAGGCGAATAATACCATGCAAATAGAACCAGAACTTCTATAAACCACTAACAAGCTTCTATTTTTTCATCAACATGCAAGACTCATGTAGCAATTTTAAACTCTGACCGGACTATATGACCCTGCACAAGTAAGAGTCAAATAAAGCTCATATGTTCCAAAGCAAATGCATGCGGTGTCTTCTATCTTCTCAGGTGTTCTCCTTTAAAGGTCCGATTAAATAAAAAAGCTATGTAGTGTAATGCAGTATGTCCACATACACCATACAATATTTCTTATGGTAATGTACTTACATTTATGTGCCAATATCCATTGTACACCACCCAGTGTAAATCACTTCCCAGAACCACATGCCAAAATACCCTTACCAGACTAATACATTCTTAGTATTCATTCATCCATCAAGAAATCTCTTTATTCCCTTTTTTGATCCAGATGTGCCCCTACTTGCTTCAACCCTCACAGAATATCAATCAAAAAACAAAATATATCATATAGTGTAATCTTGTTTCACAAATGAGCAAGTATATAAAATACAAGTGCACACATATGCTCAAATGTGCTCAAAAGTGTTAAATTAAATCACCACGTGTACTCCCGTCCTAGTGCGTCAATCCACATGGTGATATACATTACCAGAGTCTATGCTCACGTCACTGTGCTTGCTCTGATTGATATTAAACTTTTACTTTCCTTCAGCTTAATAAACTCCAAATAATATGTTCTCCTCATTAGAATGCAAAATGATCATGTAAAGAAAAAAACCACCAAACATAGCACAGCCACATACAGCAAAAACCTTTTATTCCTTGCTGAAACGCTCACATGAAATTAATGAGAGACCAGATATTAAGATGGTGGATGGGGCACTTCCGGTTTCATCTTGACGTCATTTCCTGACCGGTTTCGTCACCTGAATTTCTCAAAGGATTAGCACAGCAGTCAGATTAAATTATGACAGGCGTGCACATGGCAGGGGAGCCCCTAGCCATTATGGTCCGTAACTTATCTGACATTGTGGGATTCTGTAGAGGGATAGAGGAAGACAAGATATTATTATATGCAGATGATACCCTCTTGTATTTGGGAGACAAAGTGGGATCCCAGCGGGCCCTATTGTCCCTTATAGACTGCTTCGGGGTTCTCTGTCTTTAGTATCAATTGTGACAAATCAGTTCTGTTGTCACTTGATCCCTTGGTTCCCCCATTACCTGCATGTGCACAAGAAATACAGGTTGCTTCCTCCTTTAAATACCTAGGGATTGTGATCTCCCCTGACCCAACGAAATATTTTTCACCTCAACCTAGCATCTTTGCTAGACAAGCAGAAGGTAAAAGGTGGATGTATAAAATATCAGCGAGCGCTTATAATAGTAAAAGCAGCTGTACACTAAAAGGAAACCATAAACCTTCAGATAAGATATGCGTAAAAGTTGTGCAGCGCTATAAATCAAACGATAAAATATTCAATAAAATGCAGATAGTTCTGTTGAAAATCCAAAAAGGAAAGACAATATATATTAATAGATATATATATATATATGTATTAATTATAAATTGCGACCCAAGGTGAGACTGTTAATCCTGATATGATGTTATTCAACAGTGCAGGTGAACGGCAAGCAAATAGTTAAAATACGCACTCACCAGATATGCATAGATAATGCACAGTATATAAATCAATGCAGATCAGCCTGGAATCCCTCTTAAGGGTGGTACTGGAGATAACAGCCCAAGGTGGATGGATAACATCAAGGTGGCGCTGTGCCTGGAGGTCCCCTTTAAGGATATGGATGCAAACCTCTTCTGGATATGTAAATGGTCACCGGGGGGGGGGGGAGGGGGGGCTTTGGGGGGTTAAAAGCTCTCCAAAGAGCGACAGAAGGAAATGCCCATAGTATAGTAGATTATGATCCAATATTTATTAAACGTATAGGATGATAAGAGTGAACATACATGCGGCAAATCCTTATGCAGAAAAGAACATTAATGCAGCCTAAAGCTGCTATGAGCACTGACCAGCTGGTACAAGTACAGCGGCATCCCAGTCCTAGTCCATAAGGTTCAATATTGAGTTGGCCCACCCTTTGCAGCTATAACAGCTTAAACTCTTCTGGGGAGGTTGTCCACAAGGTTTAGGAGTGTGTCTATGGGATTGTTTGACCATTCTTTCAGAAGCGCATTTGTGAGGTCAGAAACTGATGTTGGACAAGAAGGCCTGGCTCACTGGCTCTGCTCTATTTCATCCCAAAGGTGTTCTATCGGTTTGAGGTCAGGACTTTGTGCAGGCCAATCAAGTTCTTCCACACCAGATTCCATGTCTTTATATACCTTGCTTTGTGCCCTGGCATGCAGTCATGTTGGAACAGGAAGGGGCCATACCCAAACCATTCCCACAAAGTTGGGAGCATGAAATAGTCCAAAATGCTGATGCCTTAAGAATTCCCTTCACTTGAACTAAGGGGCCAAGTCCATCCTCTGAAAAACAACCCCACACCATAATACCCCCTCCACCAAAATTTGCACTTGGCACAATGCAGTCAGGCAAGTACAGTTCTTCTGACAACCGCCAAACCCAGACATGTTCATCGGATTGCCAGACAGAGAAGTGTGATTCACTCCAGAGAACACGACTCCACTACTCTAGAGTCCAGTGGTGGCATGCTTTACACCACTACATCCAACACTTTGCATTTCACTTGATGATGTAAGGCTTGGATGCAGCTGCTGGGCCATGGAAACCCATTCCCTATATGCATATGTTGTTGTGCTAATCTGAAGTCCACATGAAGTTAGGAGGTCTTTAGCTATTGACTCTGCAGACAGTTGGCGACTTCTGCACACTGTGAGCTTCAGCATGCATTGACCCAGCTCTGTCATTTCGTGGCTGAGTTGTTGTTGTTCCCAGTTGCTTGCACTTTGTTATAATACCACTAACAGTTGACCGTGGAATATTTAGTAGCAAGGAAATTTCACAGATGGACTTGTAGCACAGGTGGCAACCTATCACGGTACCACGCTTGAATTCACTGAGCTCCTGAGAGCGACCCATTAATTTACAAATGTTTGTAGAAGCAATCTGCATGCCTATATGCTTGATTTTATACACCTGTGGGAATGGAGGTGATTGGAACACCTGAATCCAATGATTTGGAGGGGTGTTCCAATTGTTCAATATAGTGTATCTTTCACAATTCCCCAATATGGATTCCTAAGAAAATGGTTCATACAAATAGACACCCAATTCAGGACATTAATTTGAAAAAACAAAAACGTCAGAATACGGCATCTGACATTACAATATAGTAAAGCTAGGGGAGGTCTGGCAGTTCCACATGCTAGAATGTATTTTTTGGCTGCTCAGCTCCAACAATTACCTGGGTGTGGGTTTTAGGAGAATTCTGTGCAGTGGTAAGGATATTTACCTCACTTAATCCTTTACTGACTGCATTGTCCCATCTAGAGATGGCCCTTCTAGCATTACCATCCCACCGCTGAGCTGTTGTAGAGGCTGAGGAATACCCTGAAATCTACTTTGAATATCACTGGCTATTTGGAAGCTATCCCCATATGGAATAGCATCAATTACCCAGAATTAGCAAAGCTAATGGGTGGAGCATAAAGGGAGTTATTTTTATTGTTCAGTTTTACTCGGGTCCCACATTTAAATAATTTGAACAGCTGCAATCTGAATTTCTCCTCTCTCTCATAGACAATTCTATTAATATCTACAGATCCAACATGCTATAAAATCCTAATCATCTATCACATGCAAAAAATCTACCTCTAAACTTATAACCAAGGTTACTCAGCCCACCCAACAGAAAGGCTAATTTCCCATATCTATGTACAGCTCCTCGCTACGATTCAAAACTCTGCCATTTTTAATAACAGGACACAATGGGCAGCTGATATCGGAGAAATAAGTGGCGGAAAGTGGGATATGACTTTGGAGTCTATACCACTAGTCTCGCTTTCTGCCTCACATAAGCTCACCCTACTTTTCATTGGCCATCAGGTTTATAGGATCCCTGTTCAATTATTCCATTGGGGAAAGAGGGATATGCCCATCTGTCCCAAGTGTGTTATAATTAGGGGAGATTTAATTCAAAGGATGTGGCGCTGCCCAAAATTCACCAGATATTGGACAGAGGTTATTCAAACTATAGCAGTAGTCACCCAACAAGATATACCTCAGGATCCATTGATATGCCTTCTGGGTGCACTGGATGCTGAGCTATTCCTCCCTGGGGTTTACATTATGGCTCTGCGTCTTCTGTGCCTGGCAAGAAAACTGGTAGCTAGATACTGGTTGTCCCCCAATTCCCTGACCTCCCCCACTAGAAAACAATGGGTGGAGCATGTAAATTCCTTATTCTTGCAAGAATAAATCACAGCCATCGCCATGCATCTTTTTATTATTATTATTATTATATTACACAGGACTTATATAGGACCAACAGTTTTCGCAGCGTTTTACAGTATAAAGGTAGACAGTATAGCTATGCTACAATCAAAACGAGGATTAAGAGGGACTTACTCATAAGAGTTTAAAATCTAATAGGGTGGGGCAAGTGGTACAAAAGGTTATAACTGTGGGGGGATGAGCTGATGGACATGATAAATGTCTATTTGGAGGCATGATAGGCTTCCCTGAAAAGATGAGCTTTCAGGAATCACCTAAAGACAGCCAGAGTAGTGGATACCCAGACAGATTGAGGTAGAGAATTCCAGAGGATGAGAGAGGCTCTGGCAAAGTCCTGGAGACAAGCATGGGAGGAGGAGACAAGGGAGCTTGAGAGCTGGAGGTCATGAGAGGAGCGGGGAGGACTGTTTGGGTGATATTTTGGGACCAGATTATTAATGTAGCTCGGGGGAGAGTTCTGGATGGCTTTGTATGTTGTTAGTATTTTGAATTTTAGTTCAAAGGGCATTCAGAAACCAGTGGAGGGGTGGCAGACATTGAGCGGTTGGTAAGGTAGATGATCCTGGCAGCAGCATTCATGTTAGACTGAAGAGGAGATAGCCTACGGAGAGGTAGGCCTATGAGAAGGGAGTTGCAATAGTCAAGGCGAATGATAACAAGGGAGTGAACGAGTAGCTTGGTGGTTTCATTGGTTAAAAAGAGACGAATTTTAGAGATGTTACAGAGGTGAAGCCTACACGCTTTTGACAGTGGTTGGATTTGGGGCCGTAAGGATAGGTCAGAGTTGTGGATTACACCTAGTACCCTGGCTTTAGGGGAGGGACTGATAGTTGTATTATTGATCTTGATGGAAAAGTCATGTAGGAGTGCATGAGGGGGAGGGAATAATATCAGCTTGGTTTTAGAGAGATTTAGTTTAAGGAAGTGGTGGAACATCCATACTGATATGTCAGTTAGTAAGTTGGTAATGTGAGAAGAAACTGAGGGAGTGAGGTGAGTTGTAAAGAGATATATTTGGGTGTCATCAGCATAGAAGTGGTATTTGAAGCCATGGGAGGTTATCAGGTGACCAAGAGAGGAAGTGTAGATAGAGAAGAGAAGGAGTCCAAGAACAGAGCCTTGGGGGACCCCTACAGAAGAGGAAGTGGAGATGAGGAGACAGAGTTATAGGTAACACTGAAGGGGAGCTGTGACAGGTAGGAGGAGCTGAATCTCGGAGACCAAGGCAGTGGAGTTTATTGAGAAGGAGCAGATGGTCAACAGTAATAAAGGCTGCAGAGAGGTCTAGTAGTATGAGTATGGAGTAGTGGCCATTGGTTTTAGCAGTTAGTAAATCATTAGTGAGTTTTAGAAGGGCAGTTTCTATGGAGTGCTGCAGGCGATAGCCAGATTGTAAGGGGTCAAGATGGTTGTTTTCAGTGAGGTAGGAGCTGAGACGGTTTTAGACTAAGCTTTCTAAAAGTTTAGAGGTGAATGAGATCAAGGAGATGGGTCTTAAGTTGTTCAGGTTAGTGGGGTCCAGTGAGAGCTTTTTAAGTATGGGAGTGATCTGTGCATGCTTTAGGGGGGAGGGGAAGGTGCCAGTAGAGAGGAAAAGATGGGAGATGTGAGTGAGAGGGCATAGGATAGAAGAAGAGGGTGACCGTAGTAGATGTGAGGGAAAAGGATATAGGGTACAATTGGTTAGGTGGGCATCTGAGAACAGTTTTGGTAACCTCTTCAGTAGTAACTGGGTTAAAAGAGGAAAGTGTTTACTGTGCTGTTGAACAAGGTATGGCAGATTCATATAGGGTGAAGTCCAGCAGGGAATTTGGTTTTTTACGCCACAGTCGTTTAACCTCCCTGGCGGTATTCCAGAGTGTAGCTCGGGGTTAATTATCAGTGACAAAAGCGCTAACCCCGAGCTACACTCAGGGTTACCCTGCAGCGTTGCTCTGGGATTCCGTTTCACTTGCCTTGTCCTGCGCTCCAGCGATGTCCCCCCTGCAGCATCCCTGGCCGTCTCCTCCGGCCAATGCCGGCATCCGTCTTCCCGGTTCCCGGTCCCTGCAAGCGTCGGGACGTACGTGACGTACAGGGGCCAGAACCAGCGGGAAAATGTAAAAATGTTAAAAAGTGACATTCACTACATACACTAAAATAACATAGTAAAACATTACTGTATCAAAGCATTTCACATACACTTTGTCCTTAGTGCTTTGTCCTGTCTGCATTTCTCTGTTCTTTCTGCCTTGAAACTGAGAAAAGTCCATGGCGCCCAAAAAGCGTCCCTTTATGTCAAAAGCGTTTTTAGACCGGCTAGAGAACAGCAATAGTAAATTAGAACCACTTGCAGAATTGAGTTTTGATTCGTGGTGAAATTCGTCATCAGACACTAAAAACGATTTTGCGACTAAGCTCAGTGTTGTGCGAACTTGGCGCTATATTTCAAATTTCACTGTTTTTGGTTTGATTATATTATTGAATTAAATTTATTATTATATTATTATTTTTTATTATTATTTATTATATTATAATTTATGATTTTGTGTTTCAAATTTTATCATACCCGGGATGTTTACTAGACTCTTGTTCAGACAGATTTCAGTGAGTTATTCCTAAAAATTACAGGCCTACAATAAAAAAATGACATATTTCCATGCAAAAAAAGTACCGCTTTGAGCACAGAAATATTGACATAATCATACCGCTAGGGAGGTTAAGAACATGACAATGTCTCTTGAAATTTCTGGTGTTGTCAGTTTGCCAGGGTTTTAGTGGTTGAAGCCTGATTCTTCGTGTAGTTAGAGGAGCAAGTGCATCCAGAGAGGATGAGAGTGAACTGTTGTAGACAGAGGGGGCCAGGTTAGGACAGGAAAGGGGAGACATTTTTCATAGAGGTGGTCGGTACCAGAATAGAGAAGTGAAGGGTTAAAGTGGTGAAGGTTTCTGCAAGTAATTGTTTGCTGCTTGGAGGGACAAGTGGTTGAAGATAAGGATACTATGAAAGTGATAAGGTTGTGATCCAAGAGAGGAAAGAGGGTGTTGGTAAGGTCACGGGTACTACCATTGGAGTTAATGGAAGTGTGTATCTATTGTATAAGGTCAAAAGATGAGGTGAAGTGGAAAAGTTGAGCAGTAGCCGGACTGTTCACATTAACAGAGATGTTAAGGTCACTGAGAATAATAGTGGGTATTTTTAAGGAGAGAAAGTAGGGTGGCCAGGCAGAGAAGTCAGCAAAAAAACATGATACTGGTTCAGAAGGTCGATCAATCACTGCAATTCTCAGAGAAATTGGAGAAAACAGATGAATACAGTGCGTCTCGAAATAAGGGAGGGATAGAGAGGGAGTATTAGGAAGGACTTGGAAGGTGATCTGTGGGGATAGAAGGAATCTAACTCCGCCTCCTTTCTGTCCACTCAGTCTGGGTGAGTGAGTCCGTTGGAGGTCACCATGGGAGACAGCAGGAGAAGCTGAGTCAGAATCTTGAAGCAAAATTTCATTCATGGCAAGTATGTTAAAGCAATGGGAGATAAATGTTATGCGCAGATGTGAGCTTGTTACAGACTGACCTGGCATTCCAGAGGGCAAATGAGATTGGGGAGCTGTTTTTTGGGAGCAGGGGGATAGAAATTAAACTGAGTAGACTGTTGCGAGAGGAGAAAGGGTGCTGGATATGGGTATTGCAGTTAGAAAATGGCGGGCCAGGATTGGGAGAAATGTCCCCAAAGATTAGGAGAAGAAGGAGGGTGAGGAAAGTAAGATGGAAGCGGGATA